TTTGATCCACCCTCGGTACTGTCGTGAAGACTTTTGCCTTCGAGGGTGGCGCTCCAACTCTGTCGCGAAGCGACTTCGTCCATTCCTGCGGACATCCTGCGTTATCAATTATAAAACAAAACCAAAATCAATGTCAAGCGGAATCAACAGCACACCAGAAAAGAAAACAATAAAAAGTCAAGAAATAAAAATAAAAAATAAATTAAACAAGTCAAGGATAAAATTGTAAAAAGACGGATGAACAAACAAAATATAACATAAAACTGTAAGAAGACTAAAATAAATAAATAAATAAACAGAAAATTGTAAAAAGACAATAAAAGGACAAAATAAATAATAAAATGAATAAATAAATAAAAACTGTATACTGTCAATTTCGCCTATCTGCGGCCATCGAGATCCTTTCTCATCATAACAGAGATGATAAAGGTCTCGATGAGCCGCCAGTTTTCCTGGGACTGGATCATCAGCACTACCATGTTCTCCGGTGTAACTATAGCGTTTACACCGGTGAACATGGCCTGCCTCTCCAAGTCCCATTGACTGCAGGCAAAGAGGGTGTGCTCTGCGTTGTCCACAGGGAACTGGCAGTAAGCACACGCCTCACTATCTCTCTTCTTAAAGCGCTGCAGGTACGAATTAAAACATCCGTGACCTGTCAGCGCTTGTGTCAAGTAGTAGGAGACCTCTCCATGGTTCCTACTTAACCAAGTGGCGAGTGTCGGTATAAGGCGATAAGTCCATCGACCTTTTACCTCCCCGTCCCATCTTCGTTGCCATTTTTCGACGAGCCTGTGCCTCGCTTCGAAGCGGATGCGGTCCTTGCTGGGTCGATCTTCCTCTTCAGAGGAATTCGCCTCTTTGAGAAGGAGGATAATTTCCTCCCTCTCAAGCGCCAAAAGATCTGCTGGCGGGACACTTGCAAGGACCTGCACAGCGCTCGTAGATACTGTCCGATAAGCAGAGGCAATACGTGAAGTAATGCATCTCTGCGCGGACAGCATCTTTTTACAGATGGTTGAACATCTGTTTGTTCTCAGGGAGGGGGCCCACGCTGGTGCTGCGTAAAGCAACTTAGCGTGGGCGACACTCGCCACCAGTCTCCTTTTCTTCTCACGGGGGCCTCCAACATTTGGCATCACCCGTGCTAGATTAGCCGCACATTCAATCGCCTTGTTTGACGCCGTAGCCATGTGGTGATGGAAATTTAACCTTCCATCCAATTCCACACCAAGGTACTTTATCTGTCTCCTCCACTTGACCTCGAATTCGTCTATCACGATTCGTGGGGATGTATAACCACGTCTGTCTGTGACCAGCAATGCTTCGGTCTTTTCCAGGGCCATATTATTATTATTATTATTATTATTATTATTATTATTATTATTATTATTATTATTATTATTATTATTATTATTATTATTATTATTATTATTATTATTATTATTATTATTATTATTATTATTATTATTATTATTATTATTATTATTATTATTATTATTATTATTATTATTATTATTATTATTATTATTATTATTATTATTATTATTATTATTATTATTATTATTATTATTATTATTATTATTATTATTATTATTATTATTATTATTATTATTATTATTATTATTATTATTATTATTATTATTATTATTATTATTATTATTATTATTATTATTATTATTATTATTATTATTATTATTATTATTATTATTATTATTATTATTATTATTATTATTATTATTATTATTATTATTATTATTATTATTATTATTATTATTATTATTATTATTATTATTATTATTATTATTATTATTATTATTATTATTATTATTATTATTATTATTATTATTATTATTATTATTATTATTATTATTATTATTATTATTATTATTATTATTATTATTATTATTATTATTATTATTATTATTATTATTATTATTATTATTATTATTATTATTATTATTATTATTATTATTATTATTATTATTATTATTATTATTATTATTATTATTATTATTATTATTATTATTATTATTATTATTATTATTATTATTATTATTATTATTATTATTATTATTATTATTATTATTATTATTATTATTATTATTATTATTACTATTTTTATTATTATTATTATTACTATTTTAATCAAAAATTCGATTTAATTCTATAAAATTCAGTTAAATGGAATTTTGATCCACTTGAAATTTGAAATATTATTATTTTTTTGTTAAATTATTATAAAGTCTATATATAATAATAATAATAATAAAAATGAGTTTATCGCATATATAATAATCATGTCTTAAATATTATCATATGCGCAATTATGAACTCAAACGAGAAGTTACTTTTGTGGGTATTTGCTTTAGGTCCCATGTGGATTAAGATACAACCAAATGTAAAGCGCCTTTAAACTGGAAGGTCCTAATTACCAGCACTTCTATAACTGCACAACATAGTTCCATTTTACTACTGTATTTACTCTTTGATCTGTAATACGTCCCTCTGGTAATTTAAACTTATTTACACAAAGTATATAAATATATTTGTTTCCTAATATATATATATTGAAAATTTACTGATTCATATTAAGAAAAATTCAACCAATTTTTTTTTTTTTTTTGCCTCCTCAGATTATTTAATTAAATGAAGAATTTTTAATCAATTTTTTTAAAGAGAAGATCATAAATAAATATTTCCTTTATTTTCTAATCAATCAAAATATGTAAAAATCTGTTTTTCGGCATAATATATGAAAATATCATTAAATATATATTTATGTAAATTTTACACGTGGGAAAATATAACCGACTATATAGACTAAGTATTGATTGCAAAGCTTTCAACTTGGGGCTGACCAAAACCTTTTGCATCTACTTACGTAGAATATGGTTTGCTGAGAAAAAATTTTTTTTTTTAAACTCTTTTGTACATGAAAGCTCACGATATCATTATATACTCTGAAAACGTCAATTTGAATACGGTTAAAATTTTGACATGCAAAATAAGTTGACGTAAAATGAAAAAAAAAGTAGAAGGAGATGAGTGGGGGAAAAAAAAATTAAAGAGATATTTCAAGCTTTCTTTTATGTGTTCAGAATATGAAAATTGCAAATTTTTTTCCTAATGTTCCAACTGTTCTAGAATATTAATATTCTATTTTCTTTCTCATAATAAATTACATATATGATGTAGAATATTTTTAGTGGAAAAAAAATTGGACTGGTTGCACTTGCACTGAAACAATTTTGTAGCAAATTTATTTTAAAATTAAAAAATTATGTAGGAAAAAAAAGAATTACCAATAATTTTAAAAGCAAGCACTAAAAAAGAAAAAAAAATTACCAATGATTTTATAACCATTGGCAACTACTTCAACAAAGCACTACTAAAGAAAAAAATTACTAATGATTTTACAACCATATTGGTAACAATTAAAGCTAAGCACTACTGAAGAAAAAAATTACTAATCATTTTACGCAACCATTTACAACCACTAAAATAAAGCACTACTGAATAAAAAAATTACTAATGATTTTACAACCTTTGATAACAACTAAAACTAAGCACTACATGCAAATAATCACCAATGATTTTACAACCATTGGTAACAACTAAAACTAAGCACTACATGCAAAAAAATTACCAATAATTTCACAACCATTGTCAACCACTACAATAAAGCACTAATAAAAAAAAATTAATTAAGCAGCCATTGTTATCTTCCAAAAAAAAAGTTACCAATTCCTAGATTTCAGTGCAAATGCAATTTGCTCGTATCCAATTTTTAAATTAAATACAAAAAAAATTTTGATCATATTTACGATAAATTTCATAAAACGTGAAAAAACTATTGTAACAAATCCGGACGTTTATATTTTTTTTAAAAGAGATTTTGAATGTATATACATTTGTACCATTGGTAAACAAAAATTGTTGAAGGAGAATAAATAAAAGATTGGGAAAAGGCATCAGAGGATCGTAACTTGCCTTCTTCGTGTACTTAAAGTTAACGTTTGCTCTGCTTCTTTTTCTCCTCGTCAAGGGGAAGCGCGTTTGTTTACCTTTCCGAGGGAAGGAATCGACGAGGCAATAAAATTGCCTCCAGCTTTTTTCGAATTACCATAACACAGTTACGATATTCTCCCACACTAGTGTATTTCTTTTTATAAACTTTTTAACTTTTTAAGTTTCAGGCTAAAATTTTTCTTTTCCCACATATATATATTTCCAATAATAGAAAAAATAAGAAATATCTTTTCCCTTTAAGTGCAAAAATATTGAAATAATAATTAAACTTAAAATAGAAAATATTAATATATGTAAAAAAAGTAAATTATGATGTGATATTTTTAAAAAATTTTTAAAATCAATTTTTAATTCATTAAATTTTAATCTGTTAATTTTTATTCCTCTCGTCTTTTGTTTATTTAATTTAATTAAATCTTCTAATATTATTTTAGTAAATATACAAAAAGCAGTATACATTTTATGAGCAAAGTAAATTAATAATACAATATTAATTTTAGTTTATGGGAAAAAGGCTTTTAGCCTATTAATGTTGATGAAAATTATAAAAAAAAAAAAAAAATATCCCATATTTTTTTTCCACTTTTTATATATAAGAGAAAATATTTCTTATTTTTCCGTTAGAAAAAATAGAAGAAGAAAAATGCAACTAATAGTTAATTAATAATAATTTTTCTAATTTCAACTCTAACTTTTTTTATATTATAATCTTTATACTAAATTTATTTTACTATATATTTTGAAAAACATTTCTAATTCTTTAGCTTACGAGTCATTTTTCTTTTTTTTTAGTCTGTAAAGCATAAATTCTTGGCGCTACCCGCCAGTATTGTTAAAATAGACTCGGAGAATCCTGGAAAGTCGATTGAGAAGTGCTTTTAAAGGTACACATTCTGCTCTCTTTTGCAAAGGGAACCATATAAATAGCTATATATATATACATATACTTATGTCAGTAAACACACATACCTGGTTGTTATCTGCACATGGTTATCCTATTCCTGATATTGGAGGTATTAAGACAGCCATACTTCGCCTATAAATGTTTATCGCATCTGAATATTCAACCCATCATCACGTCTGACCTGGAAAAAAAAAGATGAAACACTTTTTTTTTTAAACTGATTCATAATTAAATAAATACAGCTAAAAAAAAAAAAATTCTCAACTAAAAAATTTATTCACGTCTGTAATAAATATAACTTTATTGCAGATTTCTCAATTTAATGACTTATTCAAGAATTTTTCAAGCTCGTTGGAGAAAATTCACTCTATTTATAAATTCGTCTAAAATTTAATTTAAAATATTTTTTTATTTTCTGCCAAATTTTTGGAATATTGTTTGCAGTCAAAAAATTTTTGATTTTAAAAAAGAATTTTTTTTTTTCTTTTAATTGAAGTTTGTATAACAAAACACAAAAATTGAACACAAAGGAAAAAAAGGCTTATCACATTGTGTCTTCAATAATTCAAAAATTGGATTAAAAATTGGAATAGCGAAAATTCCTTTAAATTTCTCATTAATTATTTCATTTACTTTTGCATCATCAATTATTTTACCAGTAGTTTAACTCTTATTTTTTTTTTTTTTTTTAATACGATTATTTCCTCGCAAAGTGTATGTTTCTCTCTGATTTTATAGGATTAACATCGACACGAAGCGGATGAAAAAATATCAGATATTTTTATACTATTTTTACACTTGTTCATTTTTTATAAATAGAAATGTAAAAAAAAATTGTCAATATCTAATCTGAATTTAAAGCGCATTAGACATATATAAAAAAAAAAGAAGGTACTAAAATAGTACCAATTTTAGGTATTAAAATAGAACCAAAAGGCAATTTAGTACCTAAAGTTGGTATTAAATTAAACAGTGAAGGGAGGTAAAATAATTTTGGAAAAATATAAAATCCCTATAAAACTGATTTTGTGAGGGTGAAAAATTATCTTCACTGGTGTTTTTCTTTATATAATGAATAAGAGAAAATTTTATACTTTTAGACGAACGCAAATTTGTACATCATTTATTAAGTTTTCTCCAAGTGACATGATATATTACTAAATCTGAACCTCCACTTTTTATATTAACTTATGAGAAATATGAATATTTTTCATCATCATAAAAAAATAGTATAGAATCTAAGACGTACAATTTCTCCCCCTTTTAAAATATATTTATTGGATCTTTAAATATATTCCTATATTGTTCCCTAGTGACTATCTAACAAAAAATTTATAATTCATATTTTCTTTTCTCATTATATTTGATAGTTTTGAAAACTAATATAAAATTTTATTTTTGTTTAAAAAATTTTAAAAAATGACCTGTTAATTTTGAACGAAAATATTGAAAGGACACAAGGAATATATAACAGGTGTGATTGTCACAGAGACAACGTTTCTGTCTTAGATTTGAAATCCCAAGTGTGACAATCTGTATTCTCCTTCTTTTTCAAGAAACTCTTGCGACACCAAAAAAAAAAAAACACACACACACACACATACTCTCGTCGATAAAAAAAAAAATTGCCAAGGAATTGAAGAAAATTGCAGAAATAAGTTAAAATTCTTGACCTAGAAAAGTTAATATTTTTAAAAACTCTCACAATAAAGAAAAATTCAATTTTATAAAAATGTTTTTACTGTTTCGAATTTCCATTAAATTTTTTTTCTATAAAAATATTACATTTAATAATACTTTCGATATAAATATTTTTTGAAAATATCAAAATTTTGTTTGATATCTCTCTCTCTCTCTCGCATGTAACAAAAATGTAAAAAATTCTTCCATCTATTTTAAAATTCCAGAATTCTATATATATATATATATAAGTCAGCATTAACTTTTACCCACAATTTGATATTTAAAATGCAGCATCAGCAAAATGACTCACCAGATGCATTTGCAATTCCCTAGAAAATATGCGAGATTACTATATGAAAAGAAATAAACTTATAGAAGTAGAAAATGCAACGCGAACTTTTCTAAATAATTAAAAAAATATTCTTTAGCAGAGACGAGAAGTTGTACTCCTAAAAGAAAAAAAAAATTTACATATTTACAAAGCAAATTTACTTGCCGAGTGAATTAAAACTTTTTTTTTTTTTTTTTGCGCACATTTATTTACATTAATTCAACTCAAGTAGGTACTCTTCCCCTCTTGTATTTTACTCCCTAATGCCATAGTATTAAGAAACTTTAAAATTGACTTTTCAGTGAAATGATAATAAAAGTTAATTAATTATGATAAGAAGATGATTTCTAAGCTTATAATTGAAGTCAAAAAAAAAAAAAGAAAAACAAGGACCATTAAAGTTTCTACATAAAAAAAAATTAAAAAGAAATTTTTTTTACAACGTTAGATTATTATCTGTTACTATTTATGTATTTTCTCATCGTTAAAAAAAAATATGCGATAAAGAAAATTTCCCTGAAAGCAAGACTTTTCACTTTGAATCTTTTATTAATTTATTATACACTTGGAAAAAATGTTAAATGGAAAATTTCTCTTATAGAATTTTTTTTTTTTCAAAAAGTATAAAATTCAGAATAAATTTTGTAATTTTAATTACATTTCAAAAAATACATTTTAATTACATTTCAAAAAATACATTTTTATTTATATAATAAAAATGTGATATCAATTTTTTTTTTCAGTAACTTCATTTTCATTAGTTGAAAATATATCTGTATGCTTTTTGAATTTCTAATCATATAGTGAGGATTAGTGTGACAACTATATATACATACAGTTCTGGGACACATAATAAATCTACATCATGAAATGGAGGTTCAAAATTCCATGGGAGATGGCTTAACTAGGCGTTAATGAAATGATCGAGTCATTTCCCCAGGGGAAAGCATCCCTTCTATCTCTCATAATCCTCGCATCACCGACTTAAATTTCCATATTAAATTGTCGAAACACAAAAAAAAATATTTTCCCAAAAAAAGAAGTAGATTACGATCAATTAAATATATTATCCTTTTTATCCAAGTTTCAAAATTTTCAAAATATTTATTAATAAATAATAATGATTTTAATATAAAAAATTATTCGAAATTTCAAAGTTTTATTAAATTAAAATCATTTTTTGTTATACTAGATACAAATTTTAATTTATCAAAATCAATATTATAATGAGCGTAAACGTGGATCAACAATATTTCTGACAATAGGAATGTATTATATTATAAAGGTTATCAGTGAAAGCAAATCTAATGCTATACCACTATCGAAATTGTCAAATAGACTGATGTGTTTGTCGATATCACGTGCCATAGGTCTATTACTGAAGCAAGATGAGCATAAAGATATACGATTTTGCGCGAAATATGCGTTATTTTCTTTAAATATGAAAAACAAATTATATCAATCATTTTTAATATTTGAATTATCCAGACAGGAAATATTTTATTTCCCTCACTTTAATGTATCATCACATGATATTAAAAAATATATATATATTTTCTATTAATAAAATCGAAAAAAAAAATTATTTTTTTATATATATTTAATAATATTGCAATTAACGTGCTTCTTATATAAAATTAGAAAATTCAGAAATGTAAATTAAATGCTCTTAAAACACAAAATGCGTCAAAATTACCCTCCGAAGCATACATGTATTAAATTTAATATTTACCTTAATTAAGTGTAATATAAACCTTTGCATAAATTTAATACTTGCATATACGTTAGATTTTGAGGAACATGCAATCCTAATTAATTATTATATTTACATCACAGTTAAGAGGTTTAATATATATATACATATAAATAGTTCTTTATTCTAAAAATTAATTAATTTTGTCAAAAATTAAAATATTATTCCCTTAAAAATTTAAATTTTTCTAATTCGTGAATTAAATTTTACACATTCAAATAGTAAAATTTTCTCACATCAAAAAATTATTCAATCAAATACGAACTAGTTTTTAAATTATTTTTTTTTTATTTTTTCTTAAATATATTATACAAATTAATAAACAACATCTGTACACTGTAAAAAAAAATTAGGGAGTTAACGTTACTGGGAGTTGGGAGTTAAAAATCAACTTAAAAAAGGAGTTAATTATTAAATTAACTCCTTAAAACCAACTCCCTATAGGCATAAAATTAACTCGAAAAGCATTAACTCCCTTCGCTTCAACTCCAAAAGGACTTTTATAGCATCCCCTAGGGAGTTGAAATTCAACTCCTTTTTTACAGTGTAAAATATAAACAGAAAAGTCTATAATTTTGTTTGCAAAATTTTACAGATGGATTTGCATTATTTTTTGTATTGAAATTAATTTTTTTCTACATTGTACAATTTTTACATATAATGAAAAATGTACAAAAAAAATAAATAACAAAATTTTGAAAAAAAAAATTTTAATTTATATACTATAATTTGCAAAGTATAAATTTCTTTTCACTCAAGCAGAGAGTTAATTTATTTGGAGTGTAAAAGAAAAATTGAAAGTTCTGCAATCGATACAATTGAACTAGAGAGAGAGAGAGAGAGTAGAGGATAAGAAAAAAAAAGTGCCAATGCCAGAATAAACTAACCCGTGTCGAGAACGTAACATTAATCGATAGCAAATTAAAACGCCTCTGGTCGTGGATGCCTGTTATTCCGTTGAAGTACAGGGGTTTATCTCCTATCATGATCGGCAAGTTAATCGTCTGTTAGCCAGAAACGTGCTCCTGACCCCGACACTCAGTTTTCGACGTTGCTTCCTACAGAATCCTCGAGAACTTTTCAAATTTACCTATACACAATTGCCACGAAGAGAACTGATCCTATAATTACAGGATCAAATGCCAAATAGCAAAATCTATTTTTATATCTCAAAATACCAAAGAAAAATTGAACCCCCCTACCCAAAAAAAGACCGAATCGAATTTCTATTTTCAAGAAAAATTTTTATAACTTAACCGAATTTTGATCTAAATTTTGCCAAAGAAGAAAAATAGATTTTAAAATTCATTTTTGGATATCAAATGAAATAAATAAAATTGCAGGTTGAGTACATTTTTTTGTACGATAATAACTTATTTGAAAGCTAATATAAAATTTACTTTTCCTTCCATAC